TCGGTGTATGACCTGTATACATACTTATTATATCGTTTGCCTTCCCTCCCTCCATTGATCCAATCCTTCTTTCTCTAGTTATATAGTCTCAATTCATCATGTATGAGATTAGTAATGAAGAATGATGATGATGATGTTACTGATATTAGTGATGTAGGATGTACTTTAGACAAGATATTCAGAAAATCAACATACGAAGACAGACAAGTACTGACATAAATACTGTAATGGAATACCATATATATACCGTATAGCGGAAAATTTTCGTGGATTTCGCGTTTTTTTCAAAACCCACGAAAATAAAATCCGTGAAAATCGATTTTATACGGTTTAAGATGGCCGAATTGTAGAAAACCATGAAAATTAAAGCCACGAAATTGATTTTTGGACGGATCCACAAAAATTTTGGGCCACGAAAATTTTCCGCTATACGGTAGCTAGAAAATTTGGAGTGTTAAAATTTAGCAAACTGACTCTAAAAGAGGTTGGAGGTTAAAATTTTGGTGAAATTTTAACTCCATGCATGCTTCTATGGAACTTTATCATATTGGAGACTAAAAATTTGGAGATTGGACCTCACCAAAATTTTATTTCACCAAATTTACGGTATTTTGATGGGAGTTTTGTTTGTGATTTCTCAAAAATACCATTAGTTTTAAATATACATGTAGCTAGCTACATGTATGTATGTCTGTAAATGAAAGAAAATGACAAAATGGCTTATTTTATATTCAAAAATTTTCCATGTACATGTAAATGCTAATTGAATTCACCAATATTAATTCGCTACCAATATTTTACACTATAGCTATCATCAACCTATCATGATTTAGAATTATCTTCTCACTTTTATTTCTCTTCTCTTTATTCTCTTTACACACACTCACACACTGTTTCCTTTCAGTTAGTGTATGTATTGTCAAACCCTAAAGATTATAGAAAAGAATACTCAGATAGTTTGATGTACAAATATGTTGGTCTTCCTGTCAACTGGATACTACTGAACATTACACTACCTCCTGGACCTGAAGCCACACCCACTACAACTAATGAACCTGAAGGAGAAATAATAATGAAAATTATATCAATGGAAAATAAAGGAAAAGAAAGAAGTAATAGCTTGTACTATATTGCAATTTTGTGCTAACGCAAAATTTAATGTATAGGGCACTCTTTTTTTGTGGGCTATATATTTTATGAATTTGCAAATTATAGGGCCTCGAATAAAAGATTATAATTGCAAGGGGGTGTGTCAACATGTTACAGAGCTAGAGCATTTTAACGTAGGGCTGGGACAAATGTTGGAACATTTGAATGTTCGTTTTTAAGAAGAACATTGAGTGCTGCAGCAGGCATTCGAATGTACTAAGTAGGTGGATCAGTAGGTGTGGTATGTACCACACCTACTGACACACCTACTAGTCAATGACATACCATAACTTATTTGGTAATAAGATTTTTAATTTACATGCATAAATCATTAGACATTGAGCTATACACTCTATGTGTAGGGTCCTGTATTTGATTAAATTGATCTCAACAACAAACTAATTGATTAATAAGAATCTAATTCTATGGTGCAAACATTTAAACATTTGTTCATTTTGGTCAATAGAATGTTTGAATGCTAAAATTTACATTCGTCCCACCTCTATTTTAAAGTAAATAAAGATGGTGTTTTTGGAACGGTAGTGCATGTTGATGTTTTTTGGCTTTTTCCAAACTCTGCTGGTCCTCTGTCAAATCATGTACCTCAGAGAGCAATTGTGTCAGTTAAAGGGTGTGAGGGAGGTATGATTTGCAAAATTTACTTTTGCTAAAAAAGAATTTGAAATTAATAGCCCTTGAAAAAAGAGTGCCCTACAGTATGTGGAATTTAATATTGCTGGTGTAGGTATGAGCTCTTATACGATACACACATCAATACTTTGTGGAATTAAATTGTGCATTTTTGTAATAAACAGCAATAGCAAAATTAAATTTCAGCGAATATCTCTAGTTATGCAGTGTTTAATTAATCATTTATTATTTAATACAGAGATACAGGTACTAGTTGATAAGAGAATAACATTAACTCAATTTAAGGAGGAGCTAGTTCCACTGATTGGTGTACCACCTACTGGTTTTATAGTGTATGAAATCAGTGGTAATGAAGAATATGAAATGGAGGAACTGGATGAGGCATTAGAGTATTCTGGATCAAAGGTACATGTATGTGTGTTATTTTGATTAACTTCATAAATTGTTTATACTACTAGTTGATAGTCAGACTGGGTAGACCACTAAGAAAAGGAGAGAAAAGGATTAAATTATATTTGTTACAAGTTAACAATACAGAAGTATAAGAATATTTCATTATTATAATTTGTATTGATTTTTTTGTTTTTAGTTTTGTAAGTTTATGATGGAGTCTATTGTTGCTAAGAATACACCAGTGAGAGAATTTAAGAAACAAATTATTGAAGAAGCAAAAGTACAAGGAATTGACTGTGTCCTTGAATTAGACAAGTAAGTACATCATGTGACTATCAATCATGTGACTTATTGTGTAGAATATATTTTGCTGGGATTAAATTTTGCAATTTTTGCATTTTGCAAAAATTCACCAAGTTAAAATCCACAAAATAACGTGATGATTGTAGTAGGTGTCGTAATTGCTTTAGAATTGTGAAATTTTTATTTGCAAAATAATACAAAATGCAGCCAAACTGCAAAATTTTACACCCATAAACAATATGGTGTACATCATGTGATTATCATGTGACTTATTGTGTAGAATGAGATTACGTATTGAGAGGAGAGTGTATATTGGTACAATATATCCTGATGATGAGTTAATTGATACTAGTGATAAGGAATTATATGTGGAACCATTGACAGGTCAGTATATCTGCTGTATGTGTTAGTATTAATGTGTATAGTGTATTATTATAATTGTTATTAATGTGGGTGGATTTTCCTGAGTTCAATCTTCCTCTTTATTATAGTTGATCTTTACTTTTGTAACATATCTCAGTATATTTTCAGTATATTGTACTGTATGCATTTTATAGTAAGTTTAATCTTAGCTAGTGTATTATTTTGTTAGGACCAGAGAAGAAGTATAGAAGACAGATACAGGTGTATGTTATAAGATGGCGTCCATCACAATGTTCAGTTGATCCAATAGAAGAAATTATACTGGATAATACATATGATCCTAAGCATGTTATTGAAAAGGTATTATTTATAACAAGGAACATGTGTCAGTATCACATTATTATTGTTTTTATAGCTTTCAATGTTAAGTGGAGTTCCTGTTAAGTATATCTCTTATACACAGGTTAATCATTAAAACATTTTAAAGATACTCTCTCTCTCTCTGACTCTATTAGGGAAGACTATTTCCGGTTGAGATATCATGTCTTGATATTGAGAATAAGTTGAAATGGTATTCCATCACTTCAGACACGTACTCATCAGGACTATATGATGATGGACGTGTCATATATTACAAGTACTAATGAACACACACACATTATGTATACACACACACTTACATACACCTCTTACTGTTTATAATTATTTAGAGACAATAGAGAGACAATGAAAGAGTTAACAGATAAAGAGAGATCAGAAATACAAGAGGCAGAGGAAGCAAGGTCAGTAAACATTGATCATAAATGATCAAGCAATTACCTTTTATTATGTACAGAACCTAGTACATAGTTTGGTGGTTATGAATACTTATGATTCTAAATATTTGTTATCCACTATTATTACCGGTATATTATTAATTGTAGGTTGAAAAAAATTAGGGAATGCAAATTACGACATGGACACCTATGGTGAGATTGTTTAAGGACTTTGAGTAATAATTAAGTCTTTTGTCATGAGTTATTACTTTCTCTCACAATGTTGTAACTTAGAAAAGTATTATTAATACCAAAACTGAGTCAGAACTATAACTATTCAACTGACAAAAATCAAAGTGTAAGCACCTTAAGTACACAGACAA